TGCAGTGTTGCTGTGGTCCAATCTTTCCAATTAAATCCTGGAAGTTAACGTTCTACGTTGTTATTGATATTTCTTGTCCCTAGCATTAAATTGGTTGTTTTCTTGTTTGCCTTTTGTTCTCTTATTTCTGTATTTATCTTTAGTTTACTGGTCGAGCACTCCTTTCAGAACTTCTTAAGAGTGGGTCGAGTATCCAGCACCTTGATCACCATGTCACCTGCTGATCCCCTATTGATATTTCTTGTCCCTAGCACTAAATTGGTGATTTTATTGGTTGTCTTTTGTTCTCTTATTTCTGTATGTGTCTTTAGTTTTCCTGATAGAGCACTCCTTTCAGAACTTCTTGAAGAGTGGTTCTATTATTGGGAAATTCTTTCAGGTCTTGTTTATTTGAGAATGCTTTTATTCTTTCTTTCCATATAGAAGATAATCTTGCAGGGTATAGTATTCTCCGTTGAAACTGTTGTACACTTAACACTTTGAATATATGTTCTTATTCTTTCCTTGCTCACATTGTTTCTGATGCGAGGTCTGAGGTTAGCCCAATTGGATAACCTTTGTAAGTAGCCTGACGTTTCTCTCTTGCCAATTTTAGTATCTTATTGTCTGTAGATTTGACCAGTCTGCCTATGATGTGCCTTGGAGAAGATCTTCTTGGGTAGATTCTATTAGGGGTCCTTTGTATTTCTTGGGTCTGGATATTTGAATGCATCTCTAGATTTGGAAAGTTTTCTTCCAAGATTTCATGGAATAGATTATCAATGCCTTTATTAGTTTCCTCACCTTCTGGGATACTGATTATCCAGATGTTTGGGCGCTTAATGCTGTCTCGTATTTCTCATATAGTATTCTCGTATTTTGGGTTATTATTATTATTTTTTTGAGAGGTTTTTGCTATAGGGCGTGTGCACTCGCCAGACAGACAGAGAGACATAGGGACAGAAAGCGAGAAATCACCCCCCAGGGGGGATGGTCACGCCGCAATCCCTTCTCCTCCATTCTCCTCTCAGGATCTTGGGCATGCACGCACATGTGCCTGGCATGAGTTTTAAGCCACCGGGTCCGGGACGCGAACCGCGGTCGACTATGTGGGAGTCCAGCGACATAGCCATTACGCTAACTGCTGGTTCCCATATTTTGGGTTATATTCACAGTTTTTTTGGTTGTTTTTTCTAGATCAGAGGTTTTGCCTTCGACATCTGAGATTTGATTTTCTGCATGGACTAATCTGCTTTTAATACTTTTGAGGGAGGCTTTGATTTCCTGAATGGGAGCCTTCCTCTCTAATAGCTCCATTTGATTCTTTTTTATCTTTCTTTTTATGGTGTGTATTTCCTCTTTCAGATTATGGAAGAACTTCAACACCTCCAGGAACCTGTTGTCTCTTTTCTCCTATATCTTCTGGAGTTCATTATCTCTCAGCTCTTGCATCTCATTTAGTTTTGTCATGAGAATATTCTGAATTCTCTATCAGACAGTTCCATGAGTTCTACTGTACTGTCTATGGATGATGAAGGATTGTTCTTTTCCCTTAGGGGAGAGATATTTTCTTGATTTCTCATGTTTCTTGTGCCTCTGCGGTTGTTTCTGGTCATTCTGTGACAAAAATCTATCCTCCACTTATTTGAATATTTCGGGAGTCTAGGAGATGGAGTTTAGAGCATAGCTTCCCTGAACACTCCAGGACACACCTCAGCTTTAAAATGGCTTCTTATCTGAATATTTCAGGAGTCTAGGAGATTGAGTTTATAGTACAGTTTCTCTAAACACTCCAGGACACCTACAAAGAATTTTATGAATGGTCCTGGTTTTGGCATATTGTATTCTATTCTTTCTATCTATTTTGACTGATATCCAGTTTTTAATTCATTTTCCTCCAACGCTTTTCCCCAGGCAACTGTGGAGGGATCTATGCACAGCCTGCGTTCTTGCAGCTTGTTAGCACCATCCTTCTGGCCAACTCCTCTGGCTTTGAGTTGGCTGTCACTTTTTGGTCCACAGCTCACCTGGCTTGTCTGCTACATCACCAAGAAAGATGCCAGGGTTTGTGGGTTTGTTCTCAGGGTGGAATTCTGAATAGAATAGGAAGAATCCAGTGGGTGGTCTTTGGGGGCTATTTGGGTCCTTCTTGCCCTTCTGGGGCTCTTCCAAGCAGAGCGTTCATGATTTGCCTCTGTCTTCATCAGAGTGAGACTTCTCTTTCCCAGATATGTCTTCCACCTCTTGGAGCAGTTCAGAGAAATTTCTGTGAGGGGGAAGATGCTCTCTGGGTCTTCTTCTGATGCCCTCTTGGCAGACATGGCTCCTGGCCCCTCTTTTGCACCTTCAGCCATCCTGACGGCATCATTCGCTAGTCTGGGCAGCTGCGACTCGGTGCTTCCTGGCCTCACACCAGCTACCTCCATATTGGCTCCCTTTTTGGTATACTCTTAAAAGGGGCTGGAGGAGATATCTAAGGGATGACAACTGGCATAGGTGCCGTGGGTCTATTCATCTAAAATTGGGAGTAGATTTTGGAGAACTAAAAATCCACAATCTGAATAATAGCAAAAATAGTAAAAGTAGAAAGGGTGGCATAAGATTTCTAAGACCATAAGTCAAACCATCATTGATCTAGTCAAGGATGCACAATTATTTTGTTTTCAAAACACAAGGTATGCATTTCCTACCTACTAGATTTTCTTTTCTTTTTTCTTTTTCTTTTGTGTCAAGAGAGATTTTTGCTATAGGATATGTGTGTTCACCGGAGGGACAGAAAGCAAGAAATCACCCCGTAGAGGTAATGGCCATGCTGCAATCCCTTCCTTCATTCTCTTCTTGGGATTTTGGGCAAGAACACACATGCACCTGGTGTGAATTTCAAGTCACCAGGTCTGGGACTCAAACCACAGTCAACTACATGGGAGTCCAGGGATGTAACCATTATGCCATCTGCTGCCCCCCTTTTTCTTTTTCTTTAAGTTTTATTGTTTCTTTCTCCCATGTCAGAGATGGGGGTTGGTGGGTGACAGGTAAGACACACAGAAACTCCCAACAGAGTCTTTATGCTGGGTCTTCATACCCAGTCTGAGAGAGCCTGGGTCACAGGTACACGGGTGTGTGCCTGGTGTGTTCTGGACGTAAACCCCAGACCTTTCCAAGGTAAGTAGTTACTACTCCCTGGGCCTTAATAGACTTTCTTGAAGGGCCCGCATTAAAATTCCGAAAGTATCTGTTTACAGCAGAAAAACAAACAAACAAAACCTGAAGTTTTGTTAACTCAAGTTATCTTCGCATGTTATTAATAAAAAGTATTTTAGATAATAGCTAGAATGAACAAACTAACAAAGAGATCGTATATAAACTGTAGATACTGAACTATATTGCAAATTCAAAAAAGGGAAAGAACAGTGTTTTTCTTATCTTTTACAATTTCTTTTCTTCCCATCATTTTTTTTTTTTTAAATTTCACTATAGGGGGGACCAGCAGGTGGTGTAATGGTTACATTGCTGGACTCCCACATAGTTGACTGTGGTTCGAGTCCCAGACCCGGTGGCTTAAAACTCATTCTTGGTACATGTGCATGTGTGTGTCCAAAATTCTGAGAGCAGAATGGAGGAGAAGCGAATGCAGTGTGGCCATCCCTCCTGGGGGGTGGTTTATCACTTTCTGTTTGTCTCTCAAGCAAGCACATGAACCCTATGGCAAAAATCTCTACCAAAAAAAAAAAAAAGGAATTTGCCATAGGGTGCGTGCACTTGCTTGAGAGACAGAAGGCACATATCAGAGAAAGGGAAAGTGAGAAATCACACCCCAGGGGGGGTGTGGGGGTATTGTCATGCTTCAGTCCCTTCTCCTGCATTCTCTTGGGATTTTGGGCATACATATACACATGAGCCCAGCATGATTTTCAAGCTGCCAGGCCCAGGACTTGAACTGCAGTTCAGCCATGTGGGAACCTGATGCCTTAACCACCTTGTCAACCTGCTGGCCCTCTTGACAGTGTCTGTAGCACCTACCCCCAGAAATGCTAAATCTGCATAGTAACTGATACCAGTGAGAACCTGTGTCTTCAGTGTCACCGTGGCCTATACCTGTCGTTTCCAGGAGAATCAGGGAACAAGAAACAAGATGGAGAAAATGAGTGACTAAGACAGCATGTGTTACAAACACAGCCTCGTGCACGCACATCTTCCCACACACAGAACGTGAGGAACGGAACCTGCTGTGAACTGACACTGGCAGCGTGTTAACCTCATGCTGTCTCTCTCAGAGGATCAAGGATAAATGATTCATTTCATAAAAAACCTCTAAAGACTTCAAATACACACATTCTCCTTGTTTTCACTTTTTGACATCCCTCACCCCCCCCAAGTGCCAAAACTAAGAGGTAGGCCACCTTTAAGTACCTCTTGTTGTTAACGCCTGCCCTGAGGAATGTGACTCACTGTTACACCAAGCAAACAGTAACAGAACCGAATTTTGATGTTTTCTCAATCTGCATTTGAGAGTGTTATCTTATTTCTTAACCTGTTACTGTATGGATCTTACAAGTGCCACGATATTGGGCTTTATTTCCTCATCCATGGGGATGACGTCTGTGGAGAAACGCTCTAACAAGGCAGAGGGAACTGCGCCTCCGATCCACCTGTCAGACCTGGAGCTGCTGAGAGATCCGTGTGAGCTGAGCAGCTGCAAGGCAGAGGGACTGGCTCCGTCCTTCCCATCCTCCCGCCTCCTTCTCCCCCACCTTCCGAAGGGAACTAACTCCATTGATTTCTTGTATATATAAAGCCTAACAGATCTGACAATAGTCAATTGAAATGCACATTTTTCCTCAAACACGCCTTCCCCAAACTTGTAAGACCAGATCAGCCGAAACTGAGTCTCTAGCCCTGGTGGCAGTGTGACTGCTATCAAAATGTTTAGCATTACAAATCAAGTTTTGATTTCATGTTGAGCAAAACTGCCTTGAGTTGGAAGCACTGGATTAGCCTCTGGGCCAGCTGATCGTGGTTACCTGTTCTTCAGAAACCTCGAGAGGAGGAGACGCCTGTTGCTCTGACCGCCGACCATCCTGGTAGTTCATATTTCGTCGCTGACGTAAAGGAGGGAAGAGACGATTCCAGTTGATCATTCCTCCCTAGAAAGCAATCAGCACACAGTGATCAGACAGGGACAGAGAAGGCGGAACCATTGTAAAGTGAAGAATTAAAATTAAAGCATTAAATACATCCAATTTGAGAGGTTAGAAGAGTGACAGTGATCTAAGAAATGAGAAAGAATGAAGCAGAAAGTTAACAGCAAATGTTAGTAAAGTGGAAATTCATTAAATCCAAAGCTGGTTGTTAAAAAGCCAAATGAATTAGGTAAACCTAGTAATCTTGATGAGAAAACAGAGTAAAAGCAGTATTGGGAATAATAGAAGGAATATAATGGCAGATTGAAAACGATCATTAAGACTACTTTACTCATACCAATAACTATGAAAAACAATTTTCTCGAAAAACAGAAGTTACTAAAACTTACTCAAGAAAAACCAGAAACTGAAAATAATTTTATATATATATTTTAGAGGTTTTTGCTATAAGGCGTGTGCACTCGCCAGACAGACAGAGAGAGACAGAAAGCGAGAAATCACCCACTCCCAGGGGGGATGGTCACGCCACAATCCCTTCTCCTCCATTCTCCTCTCAGGATCTTGGACAAGCACGCACACGCGCCCGGCGTGAGTTTTAAGCCACTGGGTCTGGGACGCGAACCGTGGTCGACTACTTGGGAGTCCAGCGACATAGCCATTAGGCTAACTGCTGGTCCCATCATTTTATAACTTTTGATTGCTAGAGGGAAGGTACATTTGCCAGAGAGAGACAGAGAGACATAGAGAGCAGCCTGCGACTGAGGTGAGGTGAAGTTACTCGGTAATCCCTTCTCCATTTCTCTGTCCTGTTGGGATTTGGGGCACACATACGCACCCAGTGTGTTTTTCAAGTCACTGCATTCAAACCTTAATAGTTCATGTGGGATCCAGCTTCTTTAACAACCAGCCATAGGTCTGGCCCACTAATCATTTTTAATAATTATTTTATTTAACTTTATTTATTTATTTCAATCTGATCAGACGGGGAAAGAGAGAGAGAAAAAATGAGAAAGCAAGCCATCAGGTCTGGGACTCGAACCAGACCAAGCTGAACACGTGTGTTATGACTCAGCAAAAGAGATGCAAACAAGTGTTCACCAAAAGATATAGACAAGGATGTTCCCAGCAGCATGTGGAATAATCCCATCAGTCGTAGAATGGATAATTATGGCATATTCACATAATACAATATTATACTAATGAAGCAGTTAGAACAAATGTAGCAATAGGAATAAATCCCTCAACTATGATGTTAAAATAAAAACACAGAGAGTACATTTGTATTATTATTGTATTATTATTAAATAATAAGAATATATGTTCTACAAAAATGAAAATGTAACTGACGGCAACTGAAAGAGTACTTACAGATGTACCCACACAAATCTGCAGGTGACGTCTATGAAATCTTTCAAAACTGGTTATCTTGGGACCAGCAGTTGGCATAATGGCTGTGTCCCTGGACTCCCATGTAGTCGACTGCAGTTCGAGTCCCAGACCCGGTGGCTTAAACCCACGCTGGGTGCGTGTGTGTGTGTGTGCCCAAGATCCCTAGAGGAGAATGGAGGAGGAGGGATTGTGGAGTAGCCATCCCCCTGGGGAGTGATTCCTCGCTTTCTGTCTCTCTGTCTCTGTCTGTCTTTCTGGCGCCCTATTGTAAAAACCTCTCCAAAAAAAAGAAAAACAACAACAACAACAAAAAACTAGTTATCTTATCCACCTGATCTAGAGAATAGAAAAAGAAACAGAGCTTCCCCCCTAATTTTTATTTTTTGTAATTTTGCCATAGGGTGTGTGTGTTTGTTGGAGAGAATGAGTGAGAGAGAGAGAGGGAAAAATGAGAAGTCACACCCTCCCCCCAGGGGTAATGGCCACGCCAGTCGCTTCTCCTCTAGGGATTTTAGGCATGCATGCACATGCACTCAGCATGTTTTCCAAGCTGCAGGGTCCAGGACTTGAACTGTGAAGTTGGCCAAGTGGAATCCAGATGCCTTTATCTCCACACTACTTGCTAGCCCCCCACCTAGTCTTTTGAAGCTGGTATAACATTATTTCCAAAAACAGGCAAGATCATTACAAGACAGAGAAATTATGGATCCATTTATTTTTCATTTAAAGGGAGATATAATAATCCTTAATAAGACATTAGGCAAACTCGATCCAACCATGTTTAAAATGTAATCCTTTTATCAAATATGATGTACTACACTAGGATTTATCCTGGGAATCTTAGCGAATATAGTAACATAATTCACATACTAACAGCTCAAAGGAGAAAAGGCCAATGCCTCCTCTTAACAAATATGAAAACGACTTGATTAAACTCAGTACTCAGTCATGAAGGGCCAAGAATGCCTACTACCACTTCCTGCGTTCAACCCAAGTCATAACAAAATGAGACCAAAACTTCAAAGAGAAGCCCCAAAAGGATGGAGGAACAGGAGAAACAGAACTACCATTAGTCATATGAGCGTTTACCTTGACACCCAAGAGTGGCTACAAGGCGTGAGAACTACTGAGGGCCACGAAATAAAGTATTGGTAACACGCTCTGTCGTGATCACGTGGAAGAGCACAAAATATTACTACTTACCAACAGCAGTAAGCACTGGGTACTTAGAAACGAAATCTTCAGAACACCTGCGAAACCTCTATGGAGAAAATGATAAGCAGGATTGAGGGGTACCCACAACCCTAAATAAACGCTAAGTGGGAAGACTCCGTGCATTCCTGAACTGAGCCTGGAAAAGGCAATACCGTAATCTACCGTAGGCAGCCAATTCCAGGCTGTAGCAGAGGCTGCTGGCTACACTACATATTCCATTTTCTGTGAAAATAGGGTTTAAAGATGATTTATTCATTTGTTATCTACCTAGTTATTTGTTTGCTTGTATGACCTGTGGCTATTACATGCCTCGGCTTCGCGCCTGCAGACTAGGTTTGGCCAGTTTCCTGTAAGCCAGAAGGGCATAAAGAGACTTCCAAGAAGATCGCTTAGAGGAGGGGCTCCCCCTTCTTGGAGGACGAGGTGGGAACCCTGTCCTGAGGACACAGCAGCTACAGAATTAACAGGAAGCAGTGGCTGTAGCTTCAGAATGCTGTCCCATCTGCCCAGGCTGCCCACGTCTGCACCTCTACATGAGAGAGAAACTTCTCCCTTCTTAAGTTTCTGTTAGTTTGTGTTACCTGTCATTTGGAGTTACACCTACTTCTAACTGCTTTATACTCAATTGAGAGGGGTGTGTGCGTGTGTGTTTAGATAAAAACTGTCAAAGGTCACTGTTTCGGACTAAGTTATGCCTTAACAAACCTGATCAAAATGGCAACTCATGTTCAAGTGCCACATCATGAAACTGAAACTTTCAGGAAGCAGAGAGATCCCCAAGTAGATGAGCTCTTCTACCTGAGTCGGTGTAAGGAGCAGCCACCCTGCCTTAAACCTCTCAGGGAAAGTTACTCTGAAATGACCATTCTGCCTTTGTGCTCTGCTTTTCTTCAGCCTTCTTCTCTGCCTACAAGACCAAAACAGCTTAGCTTTCCACATTTAAGTCTTTAAGTTGTGGAGTGTGTTTGTGTATGCTATGAAGTGAAGGCTTGATTTTATCTTTGCCGTGTCTATAAGTGGCTGTTCCAACACCACTTCTTAAATGCTCTGTCCTTTTCCCCCGCTGACTTATGAGGGCTCCTCTGTATATGCCAAGTGCCCATGGTCACTTTGGAGTTCTAGATTCTTCTTTTTCTTTGATCTATTTGCCTGCCTTGCACTATTGCCACACTACTTGGCTGACCACAGTCTAATAACTGGTAGAGAAAGCCTCTTATTAAGAACTTCTTCAAAATACTCATGCCGGTCACTGAATTTCGAATATGCGGAGAACAAAAGACTTTATTTGGGGACTTTGGGGTGGTAACCCGGGAAGCACAGATTGGGGTGCAATCTAAAAAGTGTTCCAAAGAGTTGATCAGAGAGGTTGGTCTCGTACCAAGCTTTATGCCGCACCCAGAGTACTGCATTTCTTCAAGTGCAGTGAGAGGGAAAGAACAGACAAATCAAAATCAGACCCCAATCCCTCTACTCCTATAATGATTTAAAAAAAAAAAAAGTGCTTAAAAACCAGAAAGGTACCAGAGCTGAGGTTCTAGGGTGTTTTGACACCACTCTGCCCGCACACAGGGTTAAAATGAGCCTCCACAAACAGGAAACGTTTCCTTCACCTTGTCTTCTTCAAAAGCAATAACCGCATATTTTAAAAAGGAAGAAGGAAACAGCTTGCATTTTAAACAGACATTTTACGAAATATTTGTTATTAGGTGGTAAGGAGATTTTCAAATGAAATAATTCTCGTGAAAACATGTAAATAAATAAATGATGAATTTTCCGACAGAGGAGCAATAACATACTCTAACATTTTATCAGAGAGAAGTTGCATGGAGTAGAGATCCTTGTTCTACAGGCTTGGGGAGGCTTCTGAATGGGCTGGCTGGGCAGTGGCCACCGCAGAGAGGCCAGGCCGGAAGAGCTCAGTAGCAGGGGGCTCTCTGGGCACTGGCAGCTCCCACAAGGCAATACAAACCAGGCACGCCACCTCGTCCCTGCTCCGGTGAAGCTCATGACCCAGGGTTAAAGCAAGACATCCAGACGTGGAAAAACCAGAATAATGCAACATGGCATAGGACCAGGGGGAGGGGGGCCGTGAGGCACCAGCGAAAACGGCTCAAAGAGTTTGGAGTGGGCATGGGCAGTCGGAACGTGGGGGTAAAACTTTAGGCGATGAGGAGTTTTACTGATATTTAAAGGGAAGGATGATTTCCACAATGGAAACGAGCATATGGCACTTGTTACAGAGTTCAGACAGAGGGGACTGAGTGGGTTTATACAGAAATATCCAAAGTCTGAAATGAAGGAGGCTCCAAAATCCAAAGCTTTTCAAGCTCCCACCTGACAACAGAGAGGGCGAATTCCACCCTGAACTAACGTGATGCATCGCAGTCAAAACGCTGTGA